AGACTGCAACAAAGCCAAGATTCATCTTGTCTGCTGGATTCCTTAGATAGAGAACTTTACTAATTGGCTTTTATGTGAATGTTCCTGTAAAGTGACCTGAGACAACTTTGTTGTGATTTGGCGCTATATAAATAAACTGAATTGAATTAGAAGGCCGTTTTCCCTTCTTCACATGCTTCTTTTTACCAGTGGCCACAGCACATTTCTTCTCTAAAGTCCTCCTTGAAGCGCAGGTTGTTTGCTTTCAGAAAGCATGACTGCTTGGCTGCCTTCCATACCGTGTCCCTCTAGTGTCTCATGGATGAGATGATCACTTTTCGAAGACGTCCCGTGCTTGTAACGCAACCCAGCCCGTGTATGCTGTCGATAACACCTGGTAGTTTTTCTTTGCATCCCAGCGTTGTCTTCTGGCAGATGGAAATAACCTTGTTATAGACATCTTCTCCTTCTTCTTTTATTCAAAGTTGCAAGTCCCATCTTCTTTTATAACGTGGAAGTTCGAGCAGCTTGTTTTCCATTTGCAGCACCTTTTCTTCTGTTTTCCCAACTCTCCTAATGGTTTCCGCCATCTTTTCTTGATGAACTTTTATTATCCTTTATAAACTTTTATACATCTTTTCTTGATAAAAAATGTTTCTTGGATAAACTCCACCAATGCTTTGAGGTCATTTATACTTGCTTGTAGACCGTCCGCTCTCTCATTTATTGTCAACTTTATAGATGCTTTCATGTTTTCAGCGAAGTTTTGGTCTTCCATCAATTTGTGACTTTTAGCTGACATGTTCATGTATTTTCTGTGCTGATGGATTTGCTTTTAACACTTGCAGCCATTATAAGGAAGTTTCAGGACATCTTCTTTTTTCTTTTCCACTTTTTAAAGCATAATGTTTGAAATGTTAATTGAAGATATTGGCGTAAATGTTTTCTTGCATTAAAGTAGCATTGCTAGCTCCTTACTTAAACAATTTCTGGAGAGCTTGCTAAGAGTGGCCATCTTGCTCGGCCTCCCCTCTATGAGTCAAACATGGCCGGCAGAGTACAAGCTTGTAGCAGGAGGAATATAGCGATCAGTGACTTCCTGGTAGGCTAATGCATTTTTTTTAAATCAGCTGTGTTACCAGCACTGTTCAGAAAAAACAAACAAACAAACAAAATTACTGTACACATTTGTGTATTGTAGCATTCTGGGGTCCATTGTGGTGGACTGCCGATCACATGGCCTCAGTGAGGGATTATGGGTAGAATTTATGTTCATTGTTAATCATTTCAGTTAGCTCTTTAAAATTATTCTTTTAGTGATTAGTCTGTTCTTGTTAGTTTATGTTCATTATGTGTTAGAACATTCAGTAGAGTAACCATGAGTGAGGGAGGTAGTTGTCATGACAACCTGTGGGGTACACTCTGTGTGTTGAACTGTAACAAAAAGGTTAAATCATGTCATCTGGACCAGTACTGGTCCAGATGACATGATTGATGATTTTTTGTTGTTATCTACTTGGATGATGGAGCTTAAAAACCTTTTTTGTGTTGAACAGTAAAACAAGTTTATAAAACACCATCTGGTGGTTGATTCTTGAGCTACAAGGGCTGCACATCTCTCTCAGTAGCTGTGTGCTGCCACCCATGTTACAACGTGAACACCCACGGCTTATATATGTACAAAATAGTTTTGTTTTTATTTTATGTTTTTATTTAGTGTGCACGGTTTATACTTAGGTTCACTCTACAGTCCAGAAAATACGGTAACTTTCATCATCTTTCAACCACTCAAGTGAATTTTAAAACTTGGGCAGATTTTTGAATTGCAACTTAAGTGTTTGCATGAAAATTCAAATGTTTTATGTCATAGCTGTGATTTTTAAACAAAATAAAAGTTGTAAACACCTTTAAGTGTTTGTAGAAGGCTTGTAATGCCATATTATTGTTGAACTCCAACACTGCAGTAGAACTCAGACTCACTCTGGGATCTTCTGGGTCAGCAGCATCACGGTGTCCCAGGAGATCTGAGTGTTGTTGAGGACGAGACGGCGGACACGGAAAAAGGCTTCGGCGCACTGCGGCTGAAGCGTGCTGCCCACCAGTGGGTTGGAGCTCAGGTTGAGGAACTCCAGATTGGGGAGGCTCAACACAATTTTACTGATCTAAAAAACAAAAAAACACCAGCTATATTTCTATTACCTTCATACAGTGATAAAACAGAAACAATGTTGTGAAGCATATAATAAGTGTGATTTTATTTTCACCTGATGTTACCAAACATAAAGATTAACATTTGTTATGTAATTTTAAAAAACAATTTTAGACATAATTAATCTAACATACTCAACAGATAAAAAATGTGGCTAATTATAAACTATTTCCAGTTCTGTACAGACATACAGTCATGAACAAAACAGTCCACCCTGTTTCACATTTATTTTACATATCAGAATAAAGTATAGAAGGATCTGGCCTTTTTACATGTTTAAAATTACTCTGATCTAATTAGAAATGTACAAAAATGCACAACACATTTTGCCAGGCTGTTTTTTTCTTTCCATCCATCCATCCCTCCATCCATCACACACTTCTTCCTTTTTGGGTCACGGGGCTCACTGGTGCCCATATCCAGCAGTCACTGTGCTAGAGGCAGGGTACACCCTGGACAGGTCTCCAGTCCATCACAGGGACACCAGGACAGGTCTCCAGTCCATCACAGGGACACCAGGACAGGTCTCCAGTCCATCACAGGGACACATAAAGACAAATGAGACAAACAACCATTCTCTCTCTCACTCTCACCTAGAGACAATTTAGTCACCAATCAGCCTAACATGCATGTTTTTGGTCTGTGGGAGGAAACTGGAGTACCCGGAGAAAACCCATGAATGCACGGAGAGAACATGCAAACTCCACCCAGAATGGCCCCCCAGCCAGGATTCAATCCGGTGACCTTCTTGTTGAAAGGCAACAGCTCTACCAACTGCGGCACTGTACTGCCCTAGGTCATTTTTATTACACAAAAACAGCGTAAATGGAAAAGCTGTGTGTGAAAATTAACTTCATCGTTGCTGTTTCCACAGATTGTAGCGTTAAACTCTACAGACATTAGTGAAATCTCTGACTGTAAAACGTTCTTAATGTAACACCGCTGCAACTCTACAGGTAAGGGACGTTCACGTCAGGACAAATGAGGGTGGAGGCTGGTGTGGGTGTCTCACCCTTGCCAACCACACCTTGATGGTGTCGGTACAGGGAGTCAAACTGGATCCAATCAATGAAACTGAAAAAGACAGGGTCAAAGTTCCTCCACATCCACTTGAGAAACTGATAAAGTCCTACAGAATCCAACTATTGAAATCTACTGGATTGTAGAGTTAACAGTTTTCCACACACAGATTTTATTTACATTTGTTTTGTTTAAAAAAAAAATAAGGGTGGAATCCCAAAAGTGGAAGAAGCAGGTAAAAGATAATGGTTGGATGGATGTTCTCTGTTTTTGTACAGTTGAGTTTAGAGTTCAATAATTTTAGAACCCGTTAAAAACAAAATCAATTTATTGTTTCCTGGTAAGAAAAGCCTAAGAACGGGAGGACGGTGGAATTCTTTTCCATGACTGTAGTTGTAGTTGTGATGTTTTTCAGCTGTTGATAAACCTTTCAGAATCTGAGTCTTCACAAAGTGTCATCAGTGTAATGCTGTAGCCATCGAAGTACAGAGCACACAACTGTAGTAAAGGCAGCACCTCATGCCAGTCGTGCAGCTTGTTGTGCGACAGGTCCAACTCCATGACATGAGAACAGAAGGCAGCGATTTCAGCCTGATCTCCAGCCCTGCTGATCCCACAGCCGTTCAACACCAGTACACTTGGCAGGTTCAGGCGGTCTTCAAGGACATACAACACAGGTGGGAGAATGAAATGTTCTGTTGCCAGAAACATTGAGTCTGATTACAACATTTCAGTTTGGGAAGAGAGACAACAAGATTTATCTAAAATACATGGGAAAATGTGTCAGAAGCACCCTTTGAGGCATCTCAGCCCAGCCCCTGGCATTCTCATATAGAAATACAACTATTTACAATTAAAAATTGAAAACGCAAACTGTAGAAATGAGTCTCGAGAAAAGTTCAAACAAGGTTGACAAGAAATGCTAAGGATGGTGTTAATACCAACGTTGTTTCTGGCCTTTCAGACTGTATTTTGCAGTGGTATACTGGTGAAAATGGTAGTCACGAAGAAAAAAACAACACTCACAATCACATGTATTTTAATACAACCATGCATTGTTTCTCTACAGCTCACCTTTCATGGGGGAACCTTGTAGACCTGCAGTGGGTATTACCACCACCCCCATCCCAGGCCCTCTGCGGTACGGAAAGTTCTCTGGGCTGTACTTTTCATTCATCACCTCCACAAAGGAACGACCTTTCTGTTCTTCTGGTAAATCCATTGCTCCTTTCAGCTTCTTCTTGAGCTGTAGAGGTGATTAAACAGCAGTTGGAACAACTAAAGGTAGTAATATATCACTGGGCTGCGACTGCTGGTGACAAGTAGGAAAGGCATTCGCAAGAGTCTCTAAAATGTCTCAAAATGTTTGCTGGGGTTCAAAGTTTCTTAGTGTGTGTTGCAGAAGCTCAAAAGCTTATCACTTATAAAATGTTCAAAAGGTTTGGTGAGACAAATTTTATCTCAAAATAGATGTGAGTGTCTAAAACCTTTCTTGAACCCTTCTCAGTTTTGTTGTGAGCATCTCCAAACCGACTCAAGATCACAAAAGCAGTATTTGGACCCATGCACGGAAATTATCTTCTGGACAGAAAACCTGCTCAGGTAAATAAAAATAAAAAACAGACAAATACAGTGGTGCTTGAATGTTTGTGAAGCCTTTGTCATTTTCTATATTTCTGCATAAATATGACCTAAAACATCATCTGATATTCACAAAAGTCCTAAAAGTAGATAAAGAGAACCTAGTTAAACATCCATCCATCCATTATCTTTTACCCGCTTCTTTCATTTTGGGTCAGGGTGTCACCGGTGCGAGGGACAGGGTACACCCTGGACAGGTCGCAAGTCCATCACAGGGACACATAGAGACAAACAACCATTCACTCTCTCACTCACACCTAGGGACAATTTAGAGTTACCAATCAGCCTAACATGCATGTTTTTGGTCTGTGGGAGGAAACTGGAGTACCAGGAGAAAACCTACATTGGGTGTCATTATTGATGAGAAGCTGACATGGAAATCTCATGTAAATTACTTAAGAATAAAATAGCAAAATCAGCTGCATTGCTGGATAAAGTAATAGGGTTTTGAATTACAAAGCTTTGTATATATTGTATAATGTAATGATTGTTCCATACTTAATCTATTGTATTAAAGTTTGGGGAAAAGCATGCAAAACAATTACAAACCATATTTTCATTTTACAAAAAAGAGCTATAAGAATTATTAGTAGGAAGTGCTATGGTCACCTGTTATGATAAGAGGCAGGAAGACGCAGTATCACTGGAATGTAAACTACTTTTATTGTCAAACAGCAGGTGCGTACATGTCAGGTGCATTCTCATTCTCAACCCCCCAGCGCAGTCTCTGTTTGCGCTCCTAGGCAACCCCTCTATGGTAGCCCAACTAGGACACAAAGGTAAATCTCACAAAATCTCCCCCGTTTCTTTTTCCTTTTTTTTTTTTTTTACAAAATTATAAATTCACTTCTCACTGCCTGTATCAGAACATAACTTAAGTAACCCTTTTGGTATGATTTGGACCAATAACAGTAAACATTTACTTTGACATCAATGCAAAGATTTTTAAAAACTCTTTAAATTTCTTTTTTTTAATTTCTCTGTATTATGAACATACAAGAACGGTGTTTTCAGAATACAGGACATCACAGGGTTGATTACCCTCAGTCCTCACAAGGAATTATTATGCCCTTTAAAATATAAGTCTCTATTAGTCTCTAAATATAAGTGGCACTTTTATCTCCCCACCTCTTGAAGTCACTCTCACGGGTGTTGCTGACCCAAGGGGAGACCCTGGAACAGGGTCTGGCGATGGCTGGCTTGCTGGTGGTTCCTGGGGAGTCACCACTTCTGTAGTTGTACAGTCCTACCGTTGTGTAGCTGGAACAGTGTGTTGCTGCTGCTCATCAATATCAGCTGTCCCTGGGACCGCCTGAAGGCGTCGTCTGTTTCAGCAGGTCACATTTCCATTAGCCATCTCCACCAAGTAGGATCTCGGCTCTCTGAACTTACTGATGACTTTGGCTGGCGTCGTCCATCCTTGGTCTCCATCAAGCTTCACTTTAACCTTCTGACCTGGATGCAGCTCAGGGAGTGGACAAGCTGAATGTCTTCGGTTGTAGAATAATTTACAAGTGTCTTTAGCTGCAGCAACCTTTTGATACACCATGTCCTGATTTTGATACACCATGTCCTGATTGGCTGGACATGGCATCTATGTCTTTTCTAGAGCTGGGACAGTGGTGTGAATTTGGCGTCCTGTCATAAGCTGAGCTGGACTCGTGCCGGTTGCTGTGGTTGTTATAGAGCAATAGCTCATTAAGGCTAACCAGGGATCAGGCTGTTTAAGGATGGACTTGTCTGTTTGGACAGCCCTTTCCGCAGCCCCATTTGACTGTGGATAATGAGGACTCGATGTTATGTGGATGAATCCATAGTTCTGTTTAAAGTCTTGGAACTCTGATGATGTGAACCGTGTTCCGTTGTCGCTGACTAGTTCCAGTGGGATTCTCCATCTCACAAACATGTGTTTAAGCTTGTTGATGACCTGCCTGCTTGTGGTAGTAGTGAGGGAAGCAATCTCAATGTCTCTTGAAAAATAATCAACAACTACAAGGAAGTTCTTACCCTCAAACTCACACAGGTCAGCTGCAATCCTCTGCCATGGGTCATTGGGTAAAGGTGTTGGCACTAGAGGTTCACATCTCTGTGTGGGTCTGTGCTCTCTGCAAACGTTGCATCTCACTTTGTTTATAATTTGAAGTCCAATACTGGGCTACCACACTGTTAATTTAGCTTGCTCTCAACTTTTAGTCAGTCCTTAGTGACCTTCATGTAGTTGATCTAAAACATTAGGTCTGAGTGCTGTGGAGATTGCAATGCGATTGTGGTAGAGCACTAGACTCTCTGACTCTGAAAGATGGCTTATGGCTGCATAGAAGACTTGTAGCGGTGAACTCTTTGCCATTCTCCGAGGTCAACCCTTTCCGATGAAAGTGATAATCTTTTGAAGTTCTGTGTCCGTCTGGGTGACACTGCAGATTTCTTCCAACTTCTGTGATGTTATAAGTTTGCTGGCAACTACATTGCTCACATAAGCATTGACTTGACTCTCAGTGTCAGACTGGCAGTTTTCATGCAACGGATGTCTTGAGAGTGTGTCTGCCCCCACTAGCTGTTTACCAGAAACATGTTCAGCAACAACATTAAATCGCATCAGGCGCATTAACCAACTCTGACATCTCAGTGGTGTTTTGTCGAGGTCATACAAGTTTATTAAAGGTACCAATGGCTTATGATCCGTTTGTAGATGTATGTGGTCCATTGCTTGAATGTAGCAGGCAAAACGTTTACAGGCCCAAACAGAAGCCAGACATTTTTTTTGATCTGCGAATATCTTTTCTCTGAATCCATGACTGTGCGTGAACAGAAGGCAACGGACCACAATTCCCCATCGTAGTCCTGTAACAGTACAGCACCCAGGCCATGACTACTGGCGTTTGCACTGACAACTGTTGGTCGGCCTGCATCATAATAACAAAATGCTGGTGCTGATGCGAGCATTGTTTTTGTTTTGTTAAATATTTGCTCATGAGACTCAGCCCACACCCATGCAGTATCTTTTCTGGGTAGATTGGTGAGTGGATGCAGCATGGTGGACAGGCCTGGCAGGAATTTACCCACATAGTTTATTAGTCCAAGTACCTGCCTGAGTTGGTCCACATTTGTGGGGTTGGGCATCTTAGCTATCGCCTCCACTTTGCTGTCATCTGGTTCACGCTGTCCGCACTGATGATGTGTCCGAAGAACCATAGTTCCCTCTTTCTGAAGTGGCACTTGGCCCTGTTGAGCTTGAGGCCTGATGCTTTGATTGTCCATAGAACTGCATCTAAGCGGTGATTATGCTTCTCTTTGTTTGATCCAAAAACAAGCATGTCATCCATCACAAAAACAGTCCCATCTAAGTCTTTGAGCAACGTGCTCATCAACTGCTGAAAGATCTCAGGTGCTGATGTAATGCCAAATGGCAGGCGCTTGAAGCAAAACCTGCCCATCAGATTTATGAATGTGGTCAGTTTCTGGCAGCTGGAGTCCAGTGGAATTTGCCAGAATCCGCTGGACGCATCCAAGGGGGAGAACATTTTAGCCCTGGATAACTCGGGAGCTATATCCTCCAATGTGGGCAGGATGTATCATTTGCATTTGACCCCCTAATTCAGATGTTTTAGATTGGCGCACACTCTGATCTCGTCTTTGTTGCGCTTTTGTGCAGCCACAATTGGTGCACATCAGTCTGTTGTCCCGGTAAATTATTTTATAATACCAAGGTTGAGCATGCACTTTATTTATTTTTTCATCTTTGGGAGGAGAGGAAACGGGACTTTGCATGGTGTGCTCACACTGTATCAGAGTCAGAGATTCTTTATTGTCATTCGCACCTCATGTGGTACATGTGGTGGAGCGAAATGATGTACACAGGGTCCCAGTTCCATCCAACAATAAAATGTAAAAGAAAAACAATGATAACTTCTAAGATATTAAGTAAGAAAAACATTAGCTAAATATACACTAAGCACTAATAGCATAAAAACATTACGTCGAACATTAGAACAAACATGAACATGAGTCTGTGTAAGCAGAGCACGCATGAACACATCAACATTGAAACAGATCAGCAGCAACATGATGTGATTTTTTCACAGTGGTTATTCTGGTTAGAGATTCATGAGTCTAACAGCCTCAGGATAGAAGCTGTTTCTCAGTCTAGTGGTTCTACACTTAATGCTCCTCAACCTCCTTCCTGAGGGGAGCGGGGCAAAAAGTGTGTGTGCTGGGTGAGTGGGGTCCTTCATGATGCAGGTGGCCCTCTTCCTGCATCTGGAGGTGTAGATGTCTGTGATGGTGGGGAGACTGACTCCAACAGTCTTCTGTGCAGCCTTCACCACTCTCTGTAAGGCTTTTCTTTCTGCAGCTGTGCAGCCTCCATGCCACACGTTGATGCTGGAGCACAGGATGCTCTCCACTGCACACCTGTAGAAGGAGGTGAGGACTGAGCTTCCCAGACCAGCTCGCCTCAGCCGTCTGAGGAAGTAGAGTCTCTGATGAGCTTTCTTGATCAGGCTGGTAGTGTTGTTGCTCCAGCTGAGGTTGTCATTCATGTGTACACCCAAGTACTTGTAGCTGGAGACCACTTCCACTGCA